CTCCTTTGTCTTATAATAAAAAAGAAATGAAAAAAAGATGTCTCTCTAGACGGTTCTATCTGCGTATTCTTCTTGTTGTTAGTTATTTCAACTTTTGAATGTATTGTTTAAAAAATAAAGCATACTCTCCTCTCTCTTCTCTAACTGTTTTGTTTTTTGTTCTTCTTTTTGATTGTTTGGTTTTAATCTAATCCTTTCTTTCCCATTGTCATTTTATGCTTGTCCCTTTTGTTGTTGTTTTTCTGCGCTCTTTCAGTATCTCCCCTTTCTAAGAAAACTTGGTCAAATTAAGTTCAAGGAGACTAAAACTTTTTTCATAACTCCACTTTTGATCGTAGAATCCAAAAATATTAAAAAAATATAGGCTAATTCCACTGCCTTCGGAAGCAATGCTCGACTTACTAGTGAAGTCTCTCTTAATTCTGCATCTTTTATGCCTTCAAAGTTATGTAAAAGTAATATAATCAAGCTAATCAGAGGTATTTTTAAACATATCACATATTGTTACATAAAGTAAGGCCAAATTTTTTGGAATTCCCCAGTTATTATCAATAATGACAATAATCAATATTTGTTATTCATCGTTTCTTACATCTATTTTACTATTACGTCTAAGTTGTATACAGATATACAAGAAAGATATAGACGTAAGAAACGATGAAGAACAAATATTGATTATTGTCATTATTGATAATAACTGGGGAATTCCAAAAAATTTGGCCTTACTTTATGTAACAATATGTGATATGTTTAAAAATACCTCTGATTAGCTTGATTATATTACTTTTACATAACTTTGAAGACATAAAAGATGCAGAACTAAGACTACCATGACCCGAAGAGAAAGCCGGAAAGTCATGTTAGTCAAGAACTGTTCTTAAGCAATGATTTCGCTTGTTAATTGGCAGAAAAAGTGCGTATATGTCTCATATTCCGCTCCGTTATTGACAGCCCTGTATCTGATAAAGTAGACTGTACCCTTTTCTAAAAAATGGCTTGACGTATAGTGTGTCTTGTGCACTTCAAACTGACATAGCAAACGGAGAGGGATACATTCTAGTTAGTTTTATTTTAGTCTGTCAAGTTGACAGAATATAGAGTAATTTCATAGTGAGTGCAGTGAACATTTGGAGCAAAAGAAAAACAAATTTCAAACTCAGAAGCAATATCTATCGTATATCTCATATATCAACATCATATCGTTCTTTTTCGTTCTCTGCTTGTATCCGGTTCACTCTCTGGTTCACTCTCTATCGTTTCTTACTTTTCTTTTTTCGTTACTGTGAATAAATCTATCGAAATATAAAAAACGCTTTAAGCGCTTAAAGCGATAAACATTGTAACGGTATCCCTTACTAACGTCATTCATCTTTGTTTTCTTGCTGTGGAAGCTATTTGATATTTATTATAATATTTCAGATTTCCATCGAGAGAGTCTATGTGAAGCAACCAAAATATATTGAGTTGACAAGACTTTCAATGCATTCTACGTTCAATTTTCTTGTATTTTTCATATCTGCATATCTATTAGCAACTGTTCACTTAGAAAAAATATTTGATAAAAGCAAATTGGTTCAAGTTAAAATTTTTTCAAATGTTGCTGAAGTACAACGTTCATTAAAATCAACAGAATTACCATTGAGTTTTTCCGAAGATGAATGGAATGATATACGTTCGAGTACAATAACATTATTAAACAATAATATTAATATTAAATCACAAACTACTGTTAAATCAAAACAATCAATAAATAATCAATTAGTTTATGTTCGAAAGCCAACGTCAGTTGGCGGAGCATACGAAATGGTGACTTGTCGAATGGTTGATGAAACAAAAAATCTTGTACAACAACTTAATACAGGTCGATATTATATTGTTAGTAATGAACAAATTGAATATGTAGATATTCCATTAATAAAAAATCAATATCTTCTTGATTTTACATTTGATAAAGAATTACCGTTAGATGAACTTGTTCATATTAGTTATTTACGCTCGAATTTATCATGGAGATCACGTTATAATTTACAATTAAATGGATCACAATCTGTTTTAACTAGTTATGGTGACATTCATAACAATGCTTCCTACAATATTGAAATAAATAAATTAACATTATTAACGGGTTCTATTAGTATGTATACAGAATGTTTAGACCGTTACAAACTATATGATGATTTTAACAGACATTCATTAGCAACTTATGCGGATGTTAAACCCCTTGTTTGTTTACCAAATACAAAGCCGTTTGTATTTACAATTAATGAACCATTTATAATAGAATCAAAAGCGCATTTTCTGGTACCTATATCACACACTTATGTTGATGTTCAATGTTATAATTCATTAAAAAAAGATAGATTTTCATTTGTAACAAATCGTGGAAATATGGAACGTTCATGTAAACTATTAAGTAAATTTAATTATCTACCAAAAGGAAATCTAGTTATACGTGAAAATGAAAAAATTTTGGGTGAATTAATGTTCTCAGGTGATATACATCCAAATGATTCATATAATTTTGTTCTTGGTATGGATCCCGATGTTACCTATGAAGAAGAAATTATTCCAATAGGCGTTGCAACAGTTAATAAATCAAACACAGATTCGTACATGTCATATAAAAATAGAAAAACAATATATCAAGTTAATGGTAAAATAAGAAATTTTAAAAATTTTGAAATTAATGTTGAGTACATAATAAACGGTGATATGTTTAGCGGTTATTCTGGTATGAAAATTCTTAAAACAGATACAGGACATATTGATTTGTCAGGAATCTCTATGAAATTTGTTATACCTGCTGAGCAAGAAAAAGAATTTAGTTATACAATACAGAATGATTATGGATATGGATATTAAACTCTTGATTAAATTTGTGTTAGTCAGAAAGAACTGATTATATAGAATAACACTAGATAAACTATATAGGTGAGACTTTAAACTGTTAAAGAATTCTCATAGGATAAAATCATACGAAAACTTAATAAAATAATATTTTAATCGTGTTCTTATCATGTTTCTATTGAATAAAACATATTTTAACAGTACTGTGAAAATGCAAAAGCAGTACCAAATTGATAAAGGTTGTGTTTTAAATATTTAGTCATTTGATTTGTGGGTCCTCACTAAAACGTTTTTCTTACCTCAATCAAGTCCCTTATTCTATTCAGGATTAAACCTCTTCGAATACTTAAATTTATAGTTTTAACTTTGAATGGTAAATTCAGGGGAACTTTTTCAAATAAATGAATCATACAATACAAATATCGTGTAAATAAATGCATAAATGAGAGTGTCCTGTTGTGCAAGGCGCGACAAGTTCTTGACAGACTCATAAGATCATATAAGAATTTAGCAAATCTTACAAGATTATATCTCTGGTTCTGTCCTATAGATTCCCTCTAGACCCTCTTTAAAAAAGATGTTTTTTTTCGTAATATTTTCGGACATTGAAAGAACTCTGAAGTCCTTAGGGACGTATCTAACCACGTTTCTTATAACTATGCACTTTATTTGTGCTTAGTTGATGTGTGAAGTTGAAGGAAGAAAAACATATAAGCTTTGCCATGAGAACTATGTTATATATACTATTTATGGTGACTAGGCATGCAACAATCCGAACGGTTCGCTACTGAAATTAAAAAAGATAGTTGATATAAACTTTATTCAGTAAGAAAGAGAAGAACAGTACAAAGATTACAATCGCGGCCTAAAGACCACATTGCATTATTCTTTCTTAGAAAGGGGAGGTTTTTGAAAAGCGCAGAAAAACAACAACAAAAGGGACAAGCATAAAATGACAATGGGAGAGAAAGGATCAGATTAAAAACAAACAATCAAAAAGAAGAACAAAAAACAAAACAGTTGGAGAAGAGAGAGGAGTATGCTTTATTTTTTAAACAATACATTCAAAAGTTGAAATAACTAACAACAAGAAGAATACGCAGATAGAACCGTCTAGAGAGACATCTTTTTTTCATTTCTTTTTTATTATAAGACAAAGGAG